ACCCCTCATAGCCAAGTTCCGCCCTTATCTAAGATCTATGTCTAAGAGGACTCTAGCTCTCGATTCTCCCTTTAGCACTATTGGAGTTGATTATGGTCTCTGAAAATGAAACCTAAAGTAAAGCATTTTGTAGGGCACTGTCTTCATGATAGATTTCTGACGCAGTATTGATTTATGGAATATAGGGGTGCTGGCAGAAGCTTTTTACCAATTATGTGGTTTGGATTTGGAAACTCTTCCCTATTTGCTGTGTAGTTGTCTTAGAGTAGCTCTTGTGTGGAAATTATGTCCTCGATTAACTCTCTTGCATCTCTTGGGCCCAGTTGGTTGGATTGGAGGCTATGAATGGTTAGTGTTTTGAGGGATGAGGTTCAAGGCCGCTAATGCGAAAGCTTTGTTACAAAGTTATGCTAGTTTGTATGGAAAGCTAGGAATGCGAGGTCTTTTCGCGGGGAGCTTTGGCCTGCATCTCAAGTTCGGTCGATGGTGGTTTCTTAGTTCTTTGAATTCTTCGATGTGAGGGACCTTTACATATCTGTTGATCATCAAGTTGATAGTAGTGAGAGCCAAAGAAAAGAGCAGCTTAAGTGTGGCATCGTCCTCCAATATGCGGCTGGGTGAAGGTGAACACTGATGTAGCCTTTGAGTGTGGACAAGGGTGGCTAGAGGAATCATAATTCGAGATTGCAATGGGGTATTGGTGGCTGCAACTACCTCTTTCTTCTTAGACATACGAGAGGCCTCGATTGCGGAAGCCATAGTTATGAGGCTGGCTATGAAACTCATCCAAATCTGGGGGTGGTCTTCTATAGCTTTTGAGTTGGACGCAAAGGCTATGGTTGATTGAGGTGGTGGCCCATGGGGGGTCATTTTCTTTTCAACTCCTCGCGGGGGTCAAAGATCTCATATGTTGGTTGAGTCTTAGAGACGATTGGCTATTTTCTCATATTTACAGGTAAACTCCTTATTCTCTAATGATCATTCTTCTTCTTCGCTCTCTCTCTTTCTTTTCTCTTTCTAGATCTACTCTATATGCATATATATATATATACTACATACATCCTAGACCTAACATACGTCTGACAATCTCAAACTAGGTAACTAATATAATAAAGAACTAAAGGAATGTAAGCTGTTAGTGGCTCATTGTCAAGCTCCCAATAATGTTAGGAGCTTGGAATGTGAGAGGTCTGAATAGACCTCCCGTGCAAAAAGAAGTAAAGCAATAGATCATTGAAAATAAATTTTCCTTTGCTGTCCTTGTTGAAATCAGAGTTAAGGAGGGTAAAGCTCCTATCATTCAGAATCGAATTTGTTCTCAATGAGACTGGCTTGCTAATTATAAATCTAGCCATATAGAGAAAATTTGGATTGGGTGGAATAAAAGCCTGTTTGATGTGGATTTGGTTCATGAGGATACACAATCTATGCTAGTTCAAGTGAAGCATATAATGTCTGGCAGAAGTATATTTATTACTGGTGTATATGCTGCTAATAGGGTTAAGGAAAGAAAAAAGTTATAAAATTCTCTTAAGATGCAAGGTACCAAAGTTACAGGGCCTTGGATTGCTTTGGGGGATTGGAATATGATTAGATACAGTCATGAGAAGAAAGGAAGACTGAGGGTTCCTCAAAGTAAGCTTGATGAGTTTAATAATATGATATATAATATTAGTATGGAATACATTCCTATTAATAAAGGGAAATGGTCCTGGTGCAACAAGCAAAATATCCAAAAACGGGTTAACGCTAAGCTGGATAGGGTGCTAGTTAATTCCTTGTGGCTGCAACACTTTAATGATTCTAAGGTAGTTTTTACCCATGCTTCATTGTCCGATCACTATGGCATGGTAGTTCAATGGTTTTTTGATTGCTCAGTAGGCCCAAAGTCATTCAAGTTCCTTAAGATTTAGTGTCTATAGGCTGAGGTTGAAAATGTGGTGAGTAAAGCTTGGGAGATTAATGTTTCAGGCAGTCCTATTCATGTGTTACAAAAGAAGCTCAGGGTTTTAAAGGATGCTGTCAAAGTTTGGAACAAAGAAAGGGGTACTACTTCAGAGCAAATCCAATCTACCAACGATGAAGTTCATTTAGTGCAAATGAAGCTGCTTCATGATCCTGATAATGAAGTTTGCATATCAAAAGGGAGAAAAGCTACTGACAAGCTACAACATGCTCTTGATCTTGAAGAAATTGTGTGGGCTCTAACGAGGCCGCTTGTATACGCCAAAATAATGTAATGAATGTGCGGTTCAAGAAAAACCTTTTAGTCAAATTTAAATTTATAAAAACCATTACTACTAACGTAGCAAGAGTGAGTAGGGATCGTCCCAAGGGATTAGACGTGTTGGAATTTAACTTCGACTCTAGTGGATCACAAGATTGTAAAGGAGAGATTGATTGTTTGATTACACTAAAATTCAATTAATAAAAATGCAATTAAAATAAACTAAGTTGAGATAAGGATTTAAGAGATGAGAAGTGAGGTCTTGGGGTGCATTGGAATCGCCACCAAGCTTGTTCACCGAACCACACACTTTCAACTAATTTGGGGAAAACCTTCTTGTGAACAAAATGGTACTACTAATTGCAATATTAAGCATGGACCATCAAATTCATGTATGAATTGTTTACTTAACCAACAAATAAACTAAGTGTAGCACAACTCACTAATTCTAAGCATGACCCATCAAACTAGTCACAATTGTAGAACACATCAATCTAGAGAATCATGGAATTTGCAATAATAAGTCATGGAATATCAAATCAAGTAAAGATTGTCTACCTACCTACAAGCATGAATTAAATTGTAGAACAACCCATCAAGCATAAGTATAATTCATCAAATTAATTGACAAACTCATCTATTAAAAACCATGTCTAGCCATCACTAGATCCTTAATTAATCACACATAGAATGCAACCAACATAGAGAAACTAGTGTAGAGATCAATTCCCAAATAATCATATATAACACAACATGTAATCACAAAGAGAATCAATAAGAAGAATTAAACCATATGAATCATGTAAGACATAATTCCCAATTTAATCACATATAGACATGTAAATAAACTAGAGAATTAATAGGAAGAATTAGACTATAGAAATTATAGAAATATACCAAGATTCATTGTATTCACAAGGCTAAAACACTAATCACAAGATATCATTCCCCAAAAAATATGAAAGAGATAGAGGTTTAGATTACAAACTTGGGGCTCATCTAAGGCCCAAGGAGAAGTCTAGCTAATCATGGAGGAGGTGGGTGTGATCTAGGAACCCTCAAGGGCAATTCCCAAACATGGCTCCATCTTTTTCCTCTTCTTCTTTGTTGAATTTTAGAGAGAGAGAGAGTGTGTGTAGATCTAGAGATGTGTTCTTGGTGCCTCCACTCTTCTCTTTTCTTCTAACCCTAATCTCTAACTTTTCTAGAGAGAGAAAATAAAAATTACAATAAAATAAAATTAAAGACTAAAGATATATGGTTGATAGATTACAAAAAATGGTTCAATTCCCTTTAAATACAAGGTCATTTTCTTAGTCACTAAGTCAGAAATGCAACCCAAAAATATCTAATCCCGCAACTATATGGTAGGTGGAGTTCGGGTGCGAGGGAATAAAACAGCTCGCTGCCAGCATATTTTCGATCGATCGAAGAAATCTTCGATCGATCCAAATTTTCAGCATTTTTGACCTTTTTTCAGATTTTTCTGAAATCTTCTAAGAACTTTTGTTTGACTCCAAAAAGGCTATAATAGACCATTTTTAGCCCTTTTGAACCTTATCGATCTAAAATAGACAAAAACACAAATAAGTACTAAAACAGGAAAATAAAGATAGATGAATAGACTAAAATACTCTCGTTTATGTGCTAAAATACATCACATTTGAGCACTCAGAAATCCAGGATTAAATGGTTACAAGAAGGGGATAAGTGTACTAAATTTTTTCATAATGTGTTAAGGCAAAGAAGATGTGCTAACTCCATCACTCAATTGCAAAATTCCACGGGAGAAGTCTCATCAGATCCCAAGACCATCAGAGATTGGTTGGTTCAATTTTATTCTGACTTATACAAAAAACAAGAAGAGTCAATTGTTGAGATTAGGCCTTTTAGGAAGGTTTTGACTTAAGAAGATTGTGATAGGTAATGTGACAACCCGAATTTTTAAGAATTGAAAATTTTATTTATTTCATGATTTTATTTATTTGTCAACATTGACTGTTTAATTTTAGAGATTTTACCCACATGGAATTTTATTGGGTTTGATTTTTCTCACAAAGCATGAATATATATGTTCTATATATTTCATGTATCAGTTTGAGGTAGCATTGAGCTTCAGCTGAAAATGCAAAGAAGAAAAGAAATGGGAATTGTAATATTTTGGCGGGTCCCATTTGAATTTTAAAGATGGAGTATTTAGGGAGTTAAATTATTTTGTTACAATTGATATATATATATATATATATATTGTAGCATCTGTTGTATGGAGCAAATGGGCTGGCCGAAATGAGATAAGGAGGAGAGAGAAATTGGTTGATTTGGTTTCCTTGTTGCATGTGTAAGATATATATGCATATATATTTTTGATGTCTGTGGATGAAAGGGCAGCCGACAGTGGAGAAGAAAGAAAAAATTATGAAATTCTAGTGGTTGGCGCGGGTCCCACTTGATTAATGAGTAATGGGTGAAAGATTTTTTCTTTTAATATTTTATTTGGTATAGTTTTTGTTCTCATGGGTTTAAGAAGTGGATAGGTACCGAATTGGTTGGATTTGATTTTTGTTCTATTATATATATATATATATATGTTGAGGTGAAAGAAAAGGTGGCTACCGAGATGAAGAAATGGAAAAGGTAAATAAAAATGTTATGATGGCATTTTAGCGGGACCCACTATGAGATTGTGTGGCCAAGAAATTAATTGGCTGTGCTTTTTTCACGTAGGTTGGTCTGTTGTATTGGAGTGAGATATTGTATTGTTGATATGATGTGATAAGGAAAAAGCAAGAATGAAATGATTTTGTCTGATGGAGTCTTGTGGTGAAATGCTGATATTTGTATTATGTCGGTGGAGGATTTCTTTATATATATATATGTATCTGTCTTGTGACTTGAAGTAAGGAATGCATAATAGAAAAATTGGAGACACACACAGTGAGCCGAGAGCTCACACAGAGAGAAACCCGAGATTGTTAGATGACAGAGAGGGCCAAAGATTGATGCTCGGATGAATTAATTCTTTTACAGTGTAGGGTTCTTCATATCTTGAATGGCCTGGATGATTTTGTTTCAAATATTTTATTAATTGTTACTTTGCTAAAATTGCATATATATATTTTGTTTAAAAGTATATGTAGATTTTTGCGAAGCTTATTTTGCATGAAACTCTTTGAAATCTTTGCTATGGTTTTTTCTACTGGGACTTCCCTCGTCTCACCCCTTTCCAGTTTCAGGTACCAAAGATGATCTTGGATTGTTAGTTGCGGGCTTAGGTGGAAGAGTTGGTGTTGAGGATTTTTATTATTTAATTTATTTAGTGATGTTGTATATAATATTGAGGAAATTGATTTGTATCAATAAAGGATATTTTATTATTTTTGAGATTCTGGGTGTAATTTTGATGTATTTTGATTTGAATAAATCAAGAAATTTATTTAGAAAAATTTAAGGCGTGACAGATAGGTTGGACTGTGTTCTAACTGCAGAAGAAATCAAAAAGCTTGTCATGTATTTTAACCCTGATAAAGCTCCTGCCCCTAATGGTTTCCCAGCAAGGTTCTTTCAGCATTACTGGGGTATTATTGGGCAATATCTTATAAATACTGTGTGTCATTTTTTCAATTCTGAAAATATGCCTCAAGGTATCAACTCTACCTTCCTTACTCTCATTCCTAAATGTAATACCCCTAATTTTAAAAGGATAATCTCGAATTTTTTTTAATTATTTTATTGCATTTTTAATTGATTATTTGATTATTTGGCTAATTGTTTAATTTAAATTATGTGCTTAAATGGCGTATTTTAATTAAATTGTTAACTGATTTGCTTGCTTAAATGATGTGTTTGTTTAATTGTAATTATTTGTTAGATTAAATGATTTAAATATTTTATTTTATTTTTATGGATTTGGATAGTAATAATGGACCAACCATCTGGATCTTATGGATTACTTGGATAGGAGTCTTAATGGGTACGGATAGTTACTCATGGATAGTTGTATATATATATATATGTATATGTATATAAGGATAGTTTATTATTATTATTATTATTGTTTGTTTATTATAAATGGTAATAATAGTAATACTAGTATAGTTATAATTTATATATTATATTTATATATATGTATATCACGTTTATAGACTTAGCATTATATATATAAATATATATGTATTTTTCTATTTTCCTTTTATTTTCCCTTATTATTAGACTTGGGGTATGAATAGGACATAGTAAAATACAGTAGGGGAAAAATACAAATACAAAAAGGTACAAGTATAATTCGATATTTTTTAAAAATACGACGAAAACTAAAAAATACGAATACGGATGCATACGTATATAATACGTCATATGCACTAAAAATTCGGGACCAAAAATTCGGCTATACACATCTTATTATTTTCTTATATATCATATATTTGTTAGAATAATGAAGAATATCTAACAAATAATAAAATAATTTATTACAATTAACACTATCAAACTAATCATAACAGAAATAAACTATCTAAATATAATTAATCAATAACCATAGGTCCATGACATGATCAATTCATCACAAAATTAATGAAAAAAATTCTAATTCAATTAATCAACTATGTTGCCTAAATTAAAAATAAAATGTAGCTGTTTGAACCACTTAGGGTACTTTTGAACAAATTTCAATATGTCTACCTTTTACATAGGATAAATGTGATTTTACTATTGAAACCTCCATGATAGTTAGAGTTTTGTTCAACATGATCCCAAAATGCATCCTTTTTTTTTTTTTTTTTTCCCCTTAATAGTCTATATATTTATAATAAATGCATAAGTATATGGTGTGATACTTGTGAAAATATCTTTATATTCTACTAAAACATCTAGTGAATGTGGTGATTTACAAACTTCCAAAATAATAATAATAATAATAAAGATACTAACAAAATTTAAAAGGTCTCAAAACAAAACAAAAAATTTATAAATGTCTACAAATATCAATAAAAATCTATGATTCTTCAAAATTCTAGTGTTTTACAAGGTATATATATGTGTTTCATTACTTTGATTAAATTTCAATCATTGGATTGACAATACTAAGAGATTAAAAAAAAAAAAAATAGTAAAACAACTGAGTGGTCACAACCTTTCCCGATATTGCACAGCAAATAGTATTATTTTGATGGTGTGAAAGAAAAGAGCTATACCAAACAAAAGACGGTAATTTGAGTTAAGAATGTGTGATTGAGAAAAATACATCATTAGAAACGTGAACGAAAAAAAAATAATAATTAGGTTACTCTAAAGTATAAACATGAATTAAACGGGGCAACCAAAATGAATAAACGAATAAACGCGTTACATACGGGATGATGAAAAAACCCGCGTATTTTACCGTATCTTTTAACTCTGATCGGCAAACGAGAGTATTTTTTCAAAATTCGTACGTTTACGTTTAATTCGTGTATCATACGCGAATTTATTAACTAGGGAATAAGATTAGGGTATAATAGTTAGTGTGTGTGTGTGTGTGTGTGTGTGTGTGTATATATGCCTTATGTCTACCAAAGGGTTTTCAAAACCCTATTCACGTATTGTGGAGGTAGAGAGTTTAGAGAGGAAAAATAAGAGAGGAAGAAGGAGAGTTTGGCCAAGAGTAAGGGCTGAACCAAGGAAGGAAGGAAGAGGCTTGCTCGTGGGTTGAACCAGGAGCAACAGAGGGCTTCGAAAGCAGCTAAGGATCGCTAGAAAAGTTAGGAAGAAGAAGGTTTTGAAATCTTAAGGCAAGTTCTTTTTCTAACTCTTTCCCTTAGATCTCGTGTTCTATACATACCTAGGTTTGATTCCAGGATTAATTAGACAATAAATTAACCATGTATGCATACTAAATTGAAATTAAAACAGAATTTATGTGTAAGTATATGTATTTGCTTGATCTTATATATTCTTACCTGAAATCTTGTTTTAACTTGTGTTAATAATGCATAAGGACTTTATAAAATTGATTGGGACTGTCTGGAACTTAGAACTGATGTTTAGGACCCTTAGCAGAGGTGATCAGAGCGACCGAAGGTCACCGGAGACGGAGAAGGAGAGGTAGCAGGTCGAGAGCCGGCTCCCTCAGGCCGAGAGCCGGGTCCCTCTTGGAGGGAGCCGGCTCCCTTGCTTAGAACATTGCAGATTCGAGTTTTTTGGGTTCTGTTTGGTAATTTGGGGTATTCCAGGGCTGTGTAGGTCAATTTAGGTGTTTTATATGATTGAAGTAAACTTGACAAAATCTCAGAATACATAATCTACATTAATATGCTAAGGACTTGAACAATATGGAATTGTAATTAAATTTACATGTTGTTAATGGAGGATTTAAATTCCTTAAATTTATTCTAGCAATTTTTATGGTATTTTTATATGATTTTAATCATGTGTTGGTAGTATAATATGATTATATATTTATCTAATTTTTATTATACTTACTTTTGGATTTTTTTTTTAATGTATAATTATATTTGTTGCATCAATTATGAATTTTATGGATTAGTGCACCATCGTCAAGAGATGGGGGCATATCAGGGATAGATTAACTAATAAGTTAAGTCCTACCTATTCTTGTCAAGTCACGAAATTAGTTGGATGACATGCCATTGAAATAATATGGTTGGATAGTTTACTTTTATGTTTGGATATGATAGATTTTATATATGTATAGATATGTGCGATGAGATGAGCTTGAGTCTCAGGATTAGTGATTAGGGTATGTATATTGCCCAGGATACATAACTGGATATAGTGGATAGATGTGTGCCCTAGTTGTTACGACCCGGTCTGCCTTCCTTTCCTTTTTCCGGAAATTTTATGAATGAATTTTTTTTTCGTTTAATTTTCTTTTCTGAGCTCTATTTCGTGTCGCTTAGTGTCATCTCGAGTACTTAAAATTGGTTCCTGAGACTCTTTTTCGTGGATTAACAACTTCCTTTGAGGACCGAGTCATTTTCACATTTTTCGTTTTTCGACACTATTCACTTTTCGTCATTTTCCCTATTTCGTCATTTTCCCTATTTTGTCTTTTCCCCGTTTGACACTTTGTTGGCGTAACCACACTTCTTGTGTTCGGAGTTGGTTTTTGACTTCATGTATCTCCATCTTGAGTGGTTTCCACGAAATACGTATCTTTACTTTTGCAAGAAAGTACTCTGGTTGCTCCTGGTGTCCATAGGGGCATGGATGCAAAGTTCTTTGAAATTATTTTCTTTTCTTGGGGTGTTTTTCGTAAATATCTTTTAAAGATATTTTATTTCAGGGGTTTTTAAGAAAATATTTTTGGAAGATATTTTCATTCTGAGGCAGCTTCGCAGTTAACACTTTTTGGAGGGGCCATTGTGCAATTAATGAAAGTTATTACAAAATGTCTTGTTTTGAGCCTGGATCCTCGTACGGGATTCATTTTCACATTTCGTCGAGTTGTGTACTCTTGGAATTTCCTCCTGGTCGATGTTTTCCAGTTTCAGGATTTTTAGCCCCAGTTTTCGCCAAACTTGTTTTGGGCATAACTTTCTGTTCGAGACTCGGTTTTTGACGCCGTTTCTTCCGTTGTTCATATTTTATCATTTTGAATCTTTTTTGTTCACAAAGTTTTACCATTTCAGCGCGTCTGCTCAAATTTTACTTTTTCGGACCCGGCGGGGCCGTTCGGGGCACTTTTTGAGATTTCTATAAAAGGGGGGTGAGATATTTCATTTTTGATCTTCTCCCCTCTTCATGCACAACCTGGAGCTCCCATGGCAGCCCAAGGGGTGCTGCCATATTCTCTCTCCTCTTTTGGTTCACTTTTCCTTGATGGAAAGTCTTCGGCCTTAACATGTGTTGTTCCCCTCGCCGTGCTCTACTTTTCCCCCTTATTAGAATTCAGTTTTGACCATTTCTTGAGTTTGGTTTTGAGGTTAAGTTATGATTTTGATGGGGGTTATGTTCATGGTGTTGTCCCCGATAAAACCTCTCGGTATCGTCGAATTCGGAGCACTTTTATTTTGGTGGGCCTTCGGGATTTTCATCTCAAATTGAGGTAAGAGATCTTTTAGGTTTAAATTCTTGTTATATAGCATGCTTGTGATGCTTATACTACTTGTTTGCATGATTAAATATAAAATCTAGAGATTTTATTATTTATTTTTCTTATACGGGATCTAATTTTTCCGGTTGCTCATGACTTGGTTTAAACATGTAGCATGATTTTATATTGTCCCTTGATATGCTCATTGTCGTGTATTAAAATTGGAACATTTGAATAAGTATTAAAGATTTTATTTAATATTTATCTTAGGTGAAAGATTAATTCACATGGCCTTAACTAGCTTAAAATTAATATGTGTTAGCATATTATATTAGGCCTTAGCATGCTCTTCAACATAGTTGAATTTAAAAGTAATTGGAGGTGTTTTGAAAATTAGTAATTATTAATTAATTTGCCCCGAGTGCACTATTCACTCTATTTAAATTCTGACTTGATATTCTTGATTTGCATGCCATATAGCTTCACATATATTTGATTTAGAATATTCGGTTAGGTTTTGAAACCTTTTATTTAATTAAATTTCATGTTTAAGATTTAATCCTCATGGTGATATACAACTTGGAATTGAATTGTGGCATGCTAGAAAATTAAGCTTAGGTATAGTTGTTCACATATATAAAATTGAGATTAATTGCATGAGAATTGCAACTTTTATTTTATATTTAACTTTAGTGAAAGTTTAGTGAAATAAACTTGTAATGTGATATTTCACTAGTCCTTGGCATGTTCTCTAAGATATGTTAAATTGAGAGCATTTGGTTAAGTTTGAAAATCTAGGGATTTTAATTAAAAGAATTAATTAAAATTTATTTAATGGTCCCCTTAGCTTAATTAAGCTTTTAACTTGATAATTGTATTGATCATGACTTGTTACTAGCATATATTAATTTGGGACTATTAGAAGTTGTTTTAGAATTGGGATTTAAATTAGCATGATTTAATTAAAGTTCTACTTTGTTGTTCCAACAACCTAATTGAGTTTTAGAATGGATATAGGTGATGACCATGCCATGTCCTTTAACATGTATTAAATTGAGGTTATTTGGAATTGAATCGGAATCTAGAGAATTTAATTGTGTTTATCTATTTAAATTCTATCAATTTGTTCCATGATTTAGTTGTGTTTTAGAAGTGATTTCTATATTCAAATCATGGACTTGGAATTGTTGTATATTCATTTGGTTATGTTTTGAACATTGGATAACATAGTTGCTATGTTTGTATTCATGAGAATATGTTTTCCTTATTAAATATATTGTTGCCTTGTGTAATGATTTGCACACTTCGTGTTTAACATTTTTCATGCATAGCGTGTAACGAATCGCACACTGAAGATTCAACATTCATCATATCATATTAGTTATGGATTTAGAGCATGTATTGTATAGGTTTCCAAATTTGGTTGTGCTTAGTAGATAGTTGATTATCTTGCATATTCCTGTTGATATATGCGTTGTTGACAACTTGTTGATTTTAGAAACTTGGGGATGTCGTTGTTTGACTATGGCTAGGACGTGGTTCTAGTACGGGGGATAGTCCCTCTATATGGTCTAGTGCGCACATAGGGAGGTTGCCCATGGGGTAGTAACCCTAAAGTAACTATGTTGTGGGCCTGATCCGGCGTGACGTCCGAGTATCCACTTTGTTTGATTTCGCATTTCATTTTCAAGTTGATAACTAGATGATGTTGTAACTTGTTGTTTCTTATTTGTCGTTCCATTTTAAGTTACAGGATGTTAACTTTGCGAAATTGTGCTTTATGCGTTGTATTGGAAGTTCCAATGTTGGTTAAATTGCATCGATATTGAAAATCGTGTTTTAACGTTCTAATAAAGCTTAGGATTGATCCTATTGATTCTTTTATAATATAGACGTTAGGTGGCATGAACCACTACTGTTATTTTGTGCTTTAGATTCTAAGTTGATGGCTTTGAGAACTTAAACTTTGTTGCATTGTATAACATGCTCTTTTGTTAATGAATTGCATGGATAATGTGATTCTTGTTAACTTGTATTCAAATATGCTTTTGTTATATTGTATAGATTACTCTAGACCTAGTTCAATTGTATTAAAAATGCAATTCATGTTAATATATGCTCAAGCATTCTTCTTGTCGTGTTCTTTAGATTATCCCAACCATGATTCGTTTCATACACGTATGTATATCATGATTCTTGTTGCTTAGACTCTAAGGTAGCTTAGGATGCTCCCCGAGTCTCACTTGGACATAGACGTTAGGTGGCATGAGCCCCGTTAACATGTTTCACCTTAAGGTGATAAATTTGTAAAATGCTAGGTCGATGCATGCTCATCTCCTACGAGTAGCTTTATGTTACTCACCCCTACGATACTGGGGCATATTTCAGGTACGAAGACTTGGTTCGTGAAGCCTAGCATTCCTTGGATGTCGAGTAGCTTTCAAGTTTCCATTTCATGCAAATGTTAGCATGAAATGTCATTTTGTAGACTTATATGTCAAAATATGTATGTTTGATTCCATGTATGTAATGTGTACTTAAGTATACTCCTTTCAATGTATTTGATATGTATGAGATAAGGCCAGAGGCCAATGACATGTATATTGTATTCTATGCAACTTTTTAACTTCATGAAATGTTATGAAAAACTTGAAAAATCGCAAGTCATTGCTTCACCACGGTTGCATCGGGTGTGGGAATTCCATTTTCATTCTTTTATAGGGTCTTATTAATCTTGTATGAAGTGTGGCCAAGGGCCAAACGGTCATTTGATCCCGTTTTGCATTTTTGGATTCCGTGTTTTCCATTCCAAGTCCATTTTTGCCTTTTTACCCGTTGGGGGGTCGGATTTTGAATCGGCTATATTTTTAAGCCATGGACCATTGTACGCATCTAAATAGGTAAGTTACATTTGCGTGCATGGTCATTTCCGGATAAAACCTTATCGTTTGTGTTTTGAGCCTCTTGTGAATTCATTTCGCATTTTTTTTTCATATACTGATCTAGGGGCACTATGGACCTTTCACATCAGTTTTATTTTCGTCTTTTTGACATGGTTGAATAGAAAACATGATTTTAGGGGGGGTATCTTCTTCGTGTTTTTCCAGAAAATGTCATCTTGGTACCGGAAATCCCTCGTGAAGTTTCAGCTTCCAGTTTTCATTTAGCAGCTTTATGACCCTCTTGTTCAGTTCTGATCTAGGGGCATTTTCGGGATTTCACAGTGAGTTTTTTTCGATTCCGTTCACTTTGTCGGGTAGAAAACTCGATTTTAGGGAGGGTTTCTTCTTCGTATTTTTCCAGAAAAACTCATCTTGACCTCCGTTTCAAGCCTCAGTTCTGGGCAGATAAAAAAAAATGTAGCAGCAGCCAAGGGCTGCCACTAGCCATGTCCTTGGGCGCAGGCATGCATGCCGGTGGGCTCACGCATGGGCGCCGTGTGCGCCATGGCCCCTTGTCAGGCCGCCGCGACGTCAATTCTTCTTTTGGGCTTTTCTCCTTCGTCCGGACTCCGATTCAAGTGAATTTTTTTTTGAACTTGACTAATTTTTCGCTGTCTTTCCAACGGTGTGCTCAGTTACACCCGATTCTTCCTGGATAATTACCACTTTACCCTTTTTGCTTTAAGTGCTCGTTTCTCTTCGTCATGCCGTTTCTCCTTCGTTCGGACTCCGAATCATGCGATTCTTGAGTCCATCTTGATTAGTTTTTCGTTGTCCTTCCAGTGGTGTGCTCGATGGCACCCGAATCTATAGTTTTCAGAAATGACTATTTTGCCCCTGGGGGCTTATTTGTCATATTTTCGATCTTTTGCTTCCGCATCAGTTCTTGAAAAGTTCCACGACCTCATGGAAGGTCACTTTGACTTCTTAGAGTCTTGTTTTCTGTTTTCGCTTCCGCATTCGGATCCGTTATCGGATCATCCTTACAGTTCATCACAGGACACGCTGGCCTAAAAACCAGGGTCGTCACACTAGTAGGTATAGGTACTCATACCCACTATATGTGTGTTTTGCATGTTGCCTACTATTCAGGTTGAGGCAGACCTATAGTCCAGTGAGAGTCCTATAGTGTGTATCTATATATATATGAATTACTTAGTTATTGTTGAGTTGACTAGGATGTATACATGTATCGGGTCTCTGTTTGGATTGTAGTAAGTAGAATAGAACTTGTTTGTGGGCTGACCCACCATTATTTTTTCAAGTGTTGTCAGTTCCAGACTTAGAGATTGTTTGTGCTAAGTAGAGACAGTCTTCATCACTCTTCTATGTATGATTCTTCTTTTTATTTCAGTGTTGGATTTTGTTAATTCAGTTATTAGTATTGGGATTTTGTTTAGGGGTCCACGTGATAGATTTTCGAGTTGTAATCTAGATGGTTACTGGTATCAGAGGATTTGGATTATTAGAGGATTAATTCTATTGAATTATTTTATTGGAGGATTTTATTATTATTTAGTTTCTTTTTAGCTTCTTTATTATTCTTATTTCCTTTTGTATTCTATGCTTGTTTATTACCTTAATTGTTTAATATTTTCCTCAATTTTATGTGTGGATTTGATCGACCCGTGTTCCGCAATCGAGGGGTATCACACTAAGCCTAACCATGGGGATAAGATAGCAAACTACATACCTATAGCCTTATGTAATCTGGTGTATAAAATTATTTCTAAGATTTTAGCAAATATATTGAGCAGTGTCCTTCCCAACTTAATTTGCCCTAAGCAATCCGCATTCATCAAGAATAGAAGGCTTTATGATAATATTTTGTTGGTCTTTGACCTGGTCAAGGGGTTTAGGAAGAAGCAGGTTGATCCATCTATGGCCTTGAAGGTGGATTTGAAAAAAGCATATGATTCAGTAGAATGGGGTTTTATTCAGAGGATGCTGCAGGTATATGGTTTCAGTGTCAAATGGATTAACTGGATCACCAAATGTATTTCTTCTCCAAAATTTTCCATTTTGTGTAATGGTGTTCCTGCTGGTTTTTTCTCTGCCTCTAGAGGTATTAGGCAAGGTTGTCCTTTATCCCCTCTTCTCTTTTCTTTTGTTATTGAATACTTTAGTAACTTGATGGAACAAGCTATAGAGGAGGGTAAGATCAAACTGTACAAGGCTGTGGCTATGACAGATATGAAGATTTCTTATGCCTTTTATGCAAACGATTTGTTAATGGTGGTAAAAGCTTATATGTCCACTGCAAAGGCAATACTTGATGTGTTCAAATAGTTCTAAGAGGCTACAGGGTTGCAGGTTAATAAAGAAAAGAGCTCAATTATTTTTTCTAAAGCAGTGAAAGGAAGAAGAAGAAGATTGCCAAGTATTTTGTAGTTCCAAACTGAGAATTTTCCTTTTAAGTATCTAGGGCTGCCTTTGTCTAATATTAACTTAAGAACAGGTGATTTCAGAGCTTTGTTGGATAAGATTAATGTTAGACTAGCTCATTGGAACACTATCACTTTGTCAATTGCAGGAAGAATTGAATTGATTAGATCAGTTCTTTATTCTTATCTGTACCATTGCGTTTTTGGATTTAAGATTCCTTGGGAGGTTAAGACGGGCTGGAAAGGAGATTCAAGAACTTTTTATGGAGTGGTAAGCAGGATCTAAAGAAGATGTCTCAAATAAAATGGAGTCAGGAAGGTTTTAACATTAGAAGAATTCAAGATATTGATGTTGCTGCAAAAATGTCTCTCTGCTGGGATTTTGTGCAAAAGAAGGACAAATTGTGAATTAAATTGGCTTCATGCTATGTATCTACAAAGAGTTTCTTTCTGAAATGTGGTTCCAAAGTGCAGTGATTTAGCTATTTGGAAACAAATGATAGGGGTTAGATAGATGGTATTGGAAAATGTTGAGTTCAAGATTGGAGATGGAATGATTTTTAGCTTGTTAACTAATCCTTGGTGTGAGAATCAATCTCTGATCCAAAAATTTGGGGCTGCTATGCTTAGACAGGTGGACATAAATCTTATGGAAGCTGATATTATAGTGAATGGCAGATGGGATATGCCTGCTTATTTGCCTGAGGAAGTAAAGGATGTCATTTAAAGGCTTACTATTAATGCTGCGAAAGATCCTATTGTTTGGAAGCACTGTAAATTCTTTTTGAAAGCAGCCTGGAATATCTGCAGGTATACAGGTCAAGTTTTGAAATGGAGTTGATTACTTTAAAGATATTGTAGACCTAAAATTGCTGTGGTGGTATGTATCATTCTGCACAATAGAAATTTGTATTTGGTGAATCTGCAGAAGTGTGGGATTGTTTTAACAGTTATTTGTCACAATTGTTGGAAAAATGCAAATACAAACGATCATTTATTCTGCACATGTTCTTATGCTCAGTCCATTTGGTAGGAATTGTTCTGCTTGCTGCAAATGGAACTGCCAGTTTGGAATTCTCAGATGCAAGTTGTGGATTGGTTTTGTTTGCAAACTTCCAGTAAATCTTCTAAGATTAAGATTCTGAGTGCTATTTTTGAAACCACTATATGGAAGATTTGGACTGTTAGGAATGCTATTCTTCATGATGGATTTAAAGATCAAGCTTCTTATGTTGCCAAGACTATTGTATAGGAGGCTTTGTCTTTCAGCTTAGTCAAGAAGATTTAATACTTACGTTTTAAGTGTCTTAATGTTATTATATTCAGTTTTTTATCCTAGTATATACTGGAAACAGGCTTATTCTAGCCTTTGAGTTGTAAAAGGAGGTATGCCTCCTTATGCGCTTGTACTGTCTATATTCTGCTTATAAAATCACCCCATTCAAGAAAAAAAAGTATTATTTTAATGAATACGATATAGATATATATATACACATTATTATATATATAACTACTAATCCCCATGGGTCACTATCCAACCCATTTAGGATTTTATTCAAATCGTCCAAGATCCATCTAGTTGGTCCATGGGATACAATCCAAATCCATAAACTTTTAAAATAAAATAAAAATAAAATAAACAAATCATTTAACAAACACAATTAAACATTTAAAAATAATTTAATTACATAAACATATCACATGAAATCAAATAAAATACACATACACAAGTAACCACATAAATAATTTAACCAACTCAAATAAAATAAAAATAAATAATCAATTAATGACAGAATAGGGCAAAGGCCCATATACCCTTTTGCTTTTAAAGACAATGGGCCAAAAAAAAAAAAAAGGTCATGGTTTTTAGACTTTTGTTGTCCTCATGTCACAGAATTTATTGCCCTCAATAATAGTTGCAACTTGGACCAAAAATTCAACACTTCAATGATCAGCAGTCCCACTTATTAAGTAAAGGGAAAATAATAAATTTAGTCTATTTTTCATATTCTTTCTTTTTTTTCCTTAAACTAAATAACTTAAATGTTTTTTTATATTAAATTATCACAAATTGAACCAAGAATAAGAATAATAATTTATATTAAAAATGGAGTGCATTTACAAAAAATTAAAATGTAGACTTATATTGTAGCATGTATGTGCGCCAAGTGTTATTGATCAGGCCGACGATGGACTTGACTTCATATTTGGCAGAAATATTTTGTATACATACCACATTAAACCTAAGCTAGCGCTAATGAGTAGTGGGTTCATGAGTTTCGTGACGAGGGTATCCAATTTATCTTTACTTGGATTGTAATTCTGCAATATATATCAAGGTTTGAGAGTTTATATAAAAGTTGTGTGTTATTCTCCTTTTTCAAATTAAGTACCTCCTACACTACTCAATCCTTCGAGGAGGCTGGGGGTTTTCGGATTGTAATTCTGCAATACATTAAGGTTTGAGAGTTTATATAAAAGTTGTGTATTATTCTTCTTGTTCAAATTAAGTGCCTCCTATGCTCCTCAATCCGAGGAGGCTGGGGTCTTCATTGAGATTCCGTTGATAGTGAGAAAATTTACAGCGTGGGGGATCCCCACAGAAAACAGGCCCCAAAGCCTACAAAAAACACAGTGTAGGGCTGGCAGCCAAGAACTATACAAAAGACTGAAACAGTTGTACTGGTAACCACAAACAAGAGAAACAAACAACCAATTAACAGAATAGACTGAAGGACACACCCCACAGAACACTATCTTCCACAAGCAACAACAAAAACAAGCCAAAGCTAGCTGTGGATGAATTGGCATGTACCAATTCAGGTTGACTCTCAATCTGTGGATGAATTGGCATGTAACAATATTTAGGGAGATCCAATTCTCCAACTAAGCTTCTTATATACTAGATCAATCAATTGGCATTAGCTCTGATGGTACGGTCTCTCGTCTCAAAAGGATAGGTTGAGTGTTCGAGTCCAACAATAATTGTGTGTGCTTACGTGTTTACTGAACTATCCGTGAATTTGATAGAGCTTAGCCTACTTACATATTCCTCAAACAGTGCTGTGTGTCATTTTTGAAAGGAAAAAAAAAAACTCACAAATAATTTTGTTTCCAATACCAATTAGAGTTGACTTACCAAAAAAAAAAAAAAAACTAAAAGCTGAACCACAAGTACTGAACAACACGAGGTAAAAATTTATAGACAGCCCATAGGTCACTATCTTAATTCCTAGATTTAGAGGATCAGAAAGGCTATGAATAGTATCATTCTTGCTTCATATATGTCATAACCATGGACAAGTTGTTTTATTTATATTTTTGAAGTCCAAGATTAAATAAGTTTACAAGCCATGCCAAACAAAATCAGGAGCACAATGGTCCCAGAGTTCAATCAAGCTAGGGGTGTTTAGACTAAAATCATCACTAGAAAACCACAAAGAACTCTCGTTATAACCTGCATTATTAATCTTTGGCTCTTCTAATTCAAAGAACCTAACCGCGCTCTCACTGCCTTTTTCAGTAATGACATTTTGGTCTTGATCAGCTCTGCCATTATCGTCATCACAACGTGACTTAGAATTTGTCATGTTCATTGGAATAGTACTATACTCATTCCCTACTTTTGAGGCTGCTCGCGAAGAAGCTCCAACCTTGGTTTTCGTCTTCTTCACCCCAAGCTTCTTGCTCAAATGAGTGTTCCACTGGTTCACTTGATTATCAGTTCGTCCAGGCACACGTCCGGCAATTAAAGACCACCTTCATATTTAAGACGAGGATATTTGCCAATTTTAGTTGTTTGAATAAAACTAACATGCACTATGTCAGAGCAATAGGACTAATGGTGCAGCAAATGCTTATACTAATTAAAACCTTAAAGTAGAGGGTCACAAAATCTTACAATAATTAATCTCCAAAAAATAAAAAATCTTACAATAATTGCCAATACAATCTCTACAGGTCCACTTTAGAGAAGATTCAAGTTTTATATTATATATGCATTAATGTATTGATCTCCTTGAGCAAATCCAATTTGCTCACCATCCCTGTGAACACATTATCATGACTTTACAGCTGTATAATGTGAATTAGTAAAAAAATTATGTTTTCAGAAAATTAAAAACTGTAGATAAACTTGTTTTGTTGCAATTTTCTAAAAGTTCTGATAAAAAATTTGTTAGACAATTTATGTTTTTTTTCTTGAGAACTGTTTTAAGAAACAAAACTCAACCAAACAAACCCCCAAAATTTCAGAATTTTAACTATGAATTTAAAATCCAAACATTAAAATTCATTAAAAAAGAAAAAAAGAACTATGAAAATGATTGAGAAATATAGATCATATATATTGGTTAAGAACAATATGTATAAATGAAAAAGAAGATATATATATATATATATATATATATATATAAACAACCTGTTTCCTAGGAGATTATGAAGCCGAATGATGAGGTCATTTTCTTCCTCCGAAAATTGCTCACGCTTTACACAAGGACTTAGATAATTCATCCACCTTAACCTGCAACTCTTCCCACCCCTCTTCAAACCTATACATACATACATATATATATATATATATATATATATATATATATATATATATATATATATGAAAAGTTACACAAAATTAAACAAAAAATTAGCAACATCCACACACACACACACATATAATCCCAGTTGCATGCAATATAATACAAACTTTTTATAGATAAAAAGTCCAAATAAACTAACCTGTCATTTTGGCAACAGAATTCCACTTTCCTTTTCCATGCACTCTTACGTACTCCTTGAGAATTCTATCTTCTTCTGACCACAGCCCTTTTTTGTATCCATGACCTCCTTCCATGTGCTTGGAGCTCAGATGTTGGAGAGCAGAGAGAGAGAGTTGGGTTGGAGGTCAGATGTTTGGTTCCTGTATAGCCTTCTGTATATATATTTGTGAAAGTATAGTTGATGAAGATTCTATGTCAGTGTATAATAAAGTGTGTGGCTTGGATTTCAACATCTATATATGCTCCTAGAAGTCGGTACCTTGGGATTGTATTATTGTTAACTTTTGTTTTATATTTTTTTTCCCCAATCAGAAAAATTGAGATGTGTCATTCATGTCATGTGACATGAATTGTTTTAGGACTATTATATGGCAAAGCTGTCCGACTGCCAACAAATAATGTTGTTTGCTACTCTAAAGCTCACGTTTCATTAAGGTGTAGGCCCTATCACCGCCCCATCAGGCTACATAGCTACCATTCTCCAAAAAAATTTAAATGACACAGTGATTATATGATCAGATGAATCACATATGGTTATGATTTGTCGTTGCGGTATCATTTGCGATCAGTGTATCGTCTTTTATCGCAGTGTAACGAATTCGAAAAAATATCAGTCTAAACTAGTCGAACTCATCGATTTATGAAGGTGTGTAATAATATTAAACCCTTGAAAAAGAGTTATGAACCAACCGTTACAATGAACTATGTATATAGTCTCACAAATAAATATATCAGATATATTTTGTAATTAGTCAAGACTGTATAAGTATCTCATAATGTAATAATTTCCCAATATTCCCTCTCCCTTCTCTGTATTTGCACTTTATATATATAGATATGTATGTTTGTATTTTTGGAGGTACAATCAAACAAGAGTAGTGAGCCCAAAGAGCTTGACCACATACTCGGAACTCAGAAGGCTTATCTGCTAGCAGTGTGGAAAAGTCACATGAAAGAGAAAATTATTCTTTTGTTCTCCAACCATTCGAAGTCTGAAACTGATCTATATATATCTCATGCACGTGAGCTTGAGCTCAATCCATCACTAGTCTTCAAACAATAACGTGAGCTTGAGCTCAATCCATCACAAGTAACTACCATATATGGTTTCGAAATTCATATTTTTTTTAGAAAAAAATTGTCCAACTGAAATATCTTATAGTAATCAGATGAAAAGAAAACACATTATAGAAAATTTGTAGTGACAGTGAGGTAAATGATTCATAAAATCTAGCTGGTTTGAAATGTAGAGATTTAACAGTGGTGGTGAGCACTTTGGAAGCATTGATGTGCTACTAAAGTGAAGTGGAATATATGCTAAACATTACAGCAATCATAAAAAATCAATTCAATTAAAAACAGATCCAATGTCGGGAAACAGAATATACAGCATATTATTCAGAATGGATAATTATATATACCTCCCTTGTAAATTGCTAGAGACCTCCTATATAATTTAAAAAATAATACTAACCTTCTCAGTCAGGTTGATTTTGACCTGAACTTGTTAAATGATTATTATACCATTATAATTTTATTAGTTCAATGTATGAACAAAAAAATATCATTTTCAAACTTTCTAAGGACATTATTGAGTTGTAATTAAGTAAATTTTAAGCATGACATAGTACACAAGAGTATCAAATTTTATTACAGAAGGTCAGTTTTACTTAAGCCTAAACGAGAAAGAAGTTCAATGTTATATTTGAAACTAGATGGGAGGTCCCCCCTCCCTAACCCCAATGGGTTGGCTTAAGTGAGTAAGTCATTTGGTTGTGATGCCTCACGAAGCATCAAGTGTGAGGTTCGGTTCCTTTTGAATGCAAACAATTCTTTGAAAGGGGTGTGTGAGTGTCATCAACTATGAAAATGTTTTTTTGAAAGATCCTTCTTAGTTAGACAATTTACAAAAAATGCAAGTGTAATTATCTCAATTCAGAATTATCTAACGGATTAAGTGCAAAAAATACCCTCACTATATACAAGATGTGCAAGAAACAACTCTATTAAGAAAAAAGTACATATAACTTTATGTATTATTCATCTTTAGAGCAAATTGCCCCTAATCATCAACTTTGACCCAATATTTTTATAAAAATTCCAAAATACCCTTAAGCAACAATTTTATTTTATTTTTTTCTCTCCATCCTTTCTCTCTCTTCAAAACCGTCTCTCTCCACTCAAAAAAGGACAACTTGGCCAGGGTGAAGCTTGCAGTTGGAGTTCAGAACTCAACCATCATTAGACTAGCCGGAATCACGACACCAGTTCGCCATCATCGGATTAGCCGCAATTTGCGGCTGGAATATGCCGAGTTTTCATTTGGAAAAGAGTTACCAAACTCATCATCATGTACCGCAGCTTCACCGTCGATAACTTCAATCCATACTTGCCCGCCGTTCGTCGTCGTTTCTGTCCTCGCATATTCGCCAGAGTTCATCCTAGCCGTCATTCCCTGCCGTCGCTTTGAGCTCGCTGTTCTCCAAGCTCGCCAGTAAGAACATCCCATATTCGCACTAGTAAGCTCAATTGCCGGAATTGTTTGTGCGCTCGCCGAAGTGAGCTTGCTAAACTTGGATACTTCTCGTCACTTGAAGGTTTTGCACTCACCGGAGATTCAATGGAACTCTCTGTTTCTTTAGAGCTTCACTATCACCGAACAGTAACTTACCGGAGCAGTACCGTAATTTTTTGAAATGGTGCTCGCCGGTGTAAGCTAGTTTTGCCGAAGCTAGGAGCTTATGTAAATGGGTCTCTGATGCTTTCTTCAGTGCCGTTGGTTTTTCTTCGCCGTTTGGATCATCTATGTGGACATGGGTGTCGCCAGAACTTGGAATGCTGAGGCAAGCGTGTGAGCTTGTAGTTGCCGAAGCTTCAAGCTTGGAGGTGTTGGGAAACGTGCAAGTTTTAAAAACTTTTCGAGGGATTTAAATTCATAAATCTTGATTCATCACATAGAGACAAGTTTTATGCAAAAATAAAACATGATGTATCATTCAATTAAAAGATTGAATACTTACATCAAGGTTTGAGTAAACCTTAGATCTCTCCTCTAAAGTGAATGTTTTCACTTATTGTAGATCCCTTTTGCTAGACACCTTTTCCATGGATCTCCATCTTCTTGGTGATGGTCTTGCCTTTAGGAATCACTCATAAGCCTCCATGAATGACCTTGGAAAACTAGGCTTGTGGGAGCCTCCATTAGATGAGAACACTAACCCTAATTTTCTAGAGAGAGAAAATTTATTCCTCTTTCCTTCTTCCAAAAATCACACACCAAAATATACATAGACCATGTATATTTATAGGCAACATAAAAATAAAGAAAAGGAAACAACAAATCATTCTCAATCTCTAATTCATATGTCTCAAATCTAATATGATTCCAATATCAAGTTGGGCTATGAGTGAGAATCCATTGGGCCTATTATTTTATTGGCTACAATGAATTAATAATTGGCCCGGTCCATGGACCCAATTTAATTAATTCATAAATTAATTTTTACTCCACTAAAAGAAATTAATTGAACTCCAATTACATAATAAATAACCACTAAGTCAATATTGCACTTTGACCCCTCTATTCTTAATTAGTTATTGGATATATAAAGCCATCAATCCGACTACTTAATTAATATATTTATTTTGGTACCATTGATTATTTCTGGCTCGATCACAATAAAACATTTGTTTGACAAAAATAATAATTTAAATAAATAAATATATAATAAATCATTTTGTCTAAAAACACACGAAGGCCTTCGAATTTACTTTGTGATCAACCATAATCAATACAAAATAAATACAAGTAACAATGATGCAAATATTGAAAATATAACCCTCTAACTATTAATTACATAACTACTCAAAGTGTCGGTCTAAGGATCTCGAAAAATCCGCCGAACAAATCAAAGTAATTATTAATTAATAAAAGAGTCTATAATTTTCTCATGCTTAAGAGTCAAATGCCATGACGGTGATAGGGAGCAATTGCATACGACGGCTCTCGCAATATATCTCAACCTAGCGCGGATCCAGTTCAAATCTTAATTAATTATGAGTCCATCCATAATTACCGACTATGAACCATTTATGATTATTATTTATATATCATGCATTGATTGCCATCACATACATATATATAAATATTTCTTGTAATCAAATAGACACTATCAATTCTATAATGAATCGAAATATAATACATTGAATTCACCAATTGTATAAAACATAAATATTTCAGAAACGTCAGGAACATATGTTACTTTAATCCAAATAGGAATTTGCTATGCCAAGGCATATAAATCCCAACAGCTCCCACTTGCCCTCATAGCCAATTCAAATTGCACCTAACTCTAATGTTATCCAGATGATGATCAAAATTATTGATCAATGACACCTTTGATAATGAATCAACAAAGTTGTGTTCCAATGCAATGTTCTAGCTACAAGTACATTTTCTTGCCGGACAATATCATGTAGAACATGATACTTCCTCTCAGTGTATCTTGTTCCTTTATAGAACCTTGGGTCATTGGTTTAGACTACTTCTACACTATTGTCGCAACATAGCTCAATAGGTAGGCTAGTATACTCCACAACCTCCAAATCAGTGAGATCAAACCAATAGGCTTCCTTTGCCGCCTTTAAGGCTGCAATATATTCCACCTGCAGGTTTGAGTCAGCAGTTGAAATCTGCTTAACAATCTACCAACTGATTTCCCTTCCATTAAGTGAACATACATTAAGTCATGAACCTCATAGTATCTACTTCTGATTAAAAATCAGAACTAACATACCTGACTAGGACCATATCATCACATCCATAAATGAGTATGATATCCTTGGTCCTCCTTAGATAATTTATGATATTTTTCACAACAGACCAGTTATCAAGTTCAGGATTGGATTGATATCTTTTGACTATCCCTACTATGTAGCGGATGTCCTATTTGGTATAGACCATCGCATATATGAGACTTCAATATGCCGAAGCATATAGTTCCAGTCTCATTTACTCAATCTCCTCTGCTAGTCTTGGAAAACTACTTACTAGAGAGAGCAATCCATATCAATAAAACAAGAACTCATTCTTTGAGTTATGCATACCAAACCTGGTCAAAACTTTATTAATGTAGGATTATTAAGATAAGCCTATTTTCCTTTTAACCTGATCTTGCAAAAGCTTGATCCTAGGAATATAGCTTTTATCTTGAAGATCCTTCATTTAAAAGTAATTGAACAACTACCTTTTTATTAATGACAAAACTTCCACATCATCCTAAATGAGTAGGATGTC